CACTTAAATTACTTTCGTCGTAATTAAATATTGCAGCAGGGTCGACAGCTTTAAGTGTTTTGTCCGTGTTTCAAACTAAACTAACAATGAAACGATAAGCAGTGCCGATTCAATCTAGGTACTATGCAAAATCCTGCAAATTTTACCTGACATCTTCACCCCTGCAGTCAACTTCGTCCTCAATTCAAGCGAAAAGTGCATGACAAATTTTAAGATTATAACGAAACTTAAAAACTTATTCAAAATCAGTAACTGGTATTTTTATCTGCATTTAATGATTCATTAAAATATTACCAACAGTTGCCAATAATATTTTTAGTATAATGATTTTTATATCAAAGATTAAGAATACTCATTTTCTTATAAATTAAATCAATAATTTCGAGGCCACGTTTTTAGTATATACAAGAAAAGAACTCTTAATTTTTACATAAAATATGTTCAACATATACCATTTTTCAAAGTAAAACTCTTGCACGTCACGATTTAAGTGACGTCGATCTTTCATAGGCATCAACATGATGTAATATTCAGAAAATATAATCATCAATATATTGGAAATTTTAGAATTATATTGATTAAATAACCAAAAACATTTATTATTATTAATAATATAAATTTTATGAAATAATTCTTGAAATCTAATATTCCACAAAATAATAATTTTAATTAAATATAATAGACAATTTTACGCAACTGATAAGCAAATACATCAAATATTATTGACAGTTCAGCGCTGTTGCCGCTTTTTAGAGTAGAAATTTTGTTTTTGTTTTGATTTCTTACACAATTTGATCATAATATAATATATTAATAAATTGTATTTATAAATACATTTTAAATTTAGATTAATAGCTTCAAAAACTAATTATTGTTGTGTATTGTGATTGTGATATGCCAAAACAAATAAATAGTCTGTAGAAAGCTGATAAGCTTTCATATAAGATAGATTATTTTGAACAAGAAATAATGGCGGGACGTTTTTTTTATTAAAGCCCTAAAGGAGGTAAGTTTAAAATTTAGAATATATAATTTTGTATTAAAATGTTTTCGTATGTATTTTAATGTGTTGCAGTGGTCTTAAGACTAGGTGTATTTGATGTTTTGGCAATGGTGTGGGGTTCTGACGACCTAAATCTTGAATGACGTGCAAACTTTTTTATATGAAAAATGTTATACATTTACAATGAACATAATTAGCATATACTATAATACTAATATTAATAAACAAAAAAAATGCGCATGCTACCTCACGCCTAATTTTTTGCCAAATGAATATTTACAATCCTTACGTTACAATTCTTACGAATATGTGTTCAGAAAGCTCCTGCAATTTCTTCACTTTTTTTGATGAAATATGTCATATACATATATTATATGAATAGAGTTTCAATTCATCAAAAACAGTGAGTGAACTGCAGGAGCATTCTGAATATATTTCAATTTCTTAATACTAATAATTTGGAAAAGAATTAGGCGTGAGAAAGTGAAAATAAAATTCCAAGTCTGATGAAGAAATTTTGTTTTCTATAACTATGATTTGTTTTAAAATACACTGCCTTATTTATATTTTGGAAATAAGCGTTTATACGTACCTTCTAAATTAATGTAGATGATGATCTTATCGCATATTGTAGATACAATTGTGAAAGATCGAATATCCCAAAGTTCGTTTAAGAATTAATGATAAATTTTTTTATCAGAAAAAGCTTTGATCGAAAACGTTATTATGCATAAACTATTCGGTCTACTTGAATTCTGAAAGCAACAAATTAAAGAAAAATGCTTATTTTATTAAAATTCTATTTATTAAAGCTACCCCTATTAGAAAAAAATCGTATAGTCGTAAATTATAGGGGATAATTAATTAACATCGTTTTTTCATGAAGTCAATGAATGTCCATTAACACTAAACAACATTATCTTAATTAATGCTTAATTAATAACATCTTAAGATTTTATCGCAGTTTAACTTCCAAATCGGACTCCCTTGATTAGTTATAATTCAAACAATGTCATTAAATCCCTTGTCTCCACTGATTTACATGAAAATTTGGATCTAGGTTACATTCCCCCTCCATTTCAAAATTGGACTTGGCACTTTGTTGATTTTTATTTTGTTATACATGAAAATGACCCTGATTAGAAAAAATCATATAATTGTAAATTCAAGTAATTTTTAATTATTTAATAATTATAGAGTGACATTAAATTTAGATTTATTTACTATGTTAATTTTTTACTAACTAATGTCTTTGCGATTTTTTATTTCAACTTAAAACAACAGCCCTTGCGCGTTTTGATACATATCTTATAAAACATGTAATTTGTATTTTATTCATAACTCGGTTTGCTTTTAACCTATGAAGTACTTAGAAAAAAATCATTTTTATTTTCCTTAAGGGCAATAAATTATTTTTTTAAATCTTTATGTTTAAAAGGGTTGTAATTGAAAGAACTTGAACGAGTCACTAATCACTAGTGTGTGAACTTGAACAGAAATATCCAAAAAAAAAATAAAAAGAAACCAAAATGTTCAAAAAAGCAAAACGTATATTTTTTACTTCTACCTACTTTAAGATTTTTCGTATCACTAATATTTTTTAAGTTTTTTGAAAAAAAATATTTTTTTCAAAATTTCAAAAATTTTTCGTTTACTTCAAAACCATATTGTTTTTAATAGCACTTTTAAACTTTTTGATGCTAGAATATTTTAAACAAAAAACAAAAATAAACCTTCTTTAAAATACTTTCAATAAGTTTTGATGAGATTTCCCCGAAAAGGACATCACTTTTCGGTTATTTCATGTTCAAATATTTGATTTGGAATTTGGCAAATAAGAACCTACTTTTCATTAGCTACAATTCTTCTTTTACTAGGTCTACAGAGTTCATAAGTACAGCATTTTTGTTTGTTTTTTTTATAAGCTTCATTTTTGTTACAAATATTTTTTTAAATAAATAGGTACTTACTTTTTGAGTTATTTGTGAAAAATCGTCTGAAAACTTGGTTTTATTTGGAAAATGAACATTTTAACTCTCAATTAAAATCAAAAGTATTGGCTTAGTAAAAAAACTCTATAGAATGTTCTTCAGAATTAGTCAATTTATTCACTTCCGGACATTTTTGAACGTAAGTTTTTTCAACCCCGAGAAGTGGTGGCTTTCACCCCCTAAGTAAAAGCAAATCTGAGCTCAAAACCAAAAATTAAGTAGGGGATGAGAGCAACCTAAATCCAAATTTTTAAACAAATCCGTCGTGACTCGTGACAAGGAAATTTACAATCCGAAATGGTCATTTATTAGAGTAATAAAAGTTTTCTGCAATAAACAATTTTAATTATGCAATAACTGCTAAGTCTTAAAATTTTATAACTGATTACATGTGATATTCTCCCTATTTTCACGGGAAAAAAATTTTTTGTGCATTTTCAGAATAGTTATTAATAATTTTCAAAAAATCGAATTTTGAAGCTATAAACAATAAATTAACAAATAACTTTACAATCTCTCATTTTAAAGTATTTTCTATGCTTTTCCAGAACAATCGTCTTCCCCTTTAGGAAGTATTTAAAATCAACTAATAATCTTACATTGTTTCTAATATTATTTATAAGTAAAAAATTAGATTTAATCTTTTGCATAATATATTATATTGTTTATCATATATTTTATCACCAAATTTATCCAAAGCAGTTTTTAAATATCTATGTCAAAATAGTGTCAGGAAAAAGCCATTTTATATGCTAATTTACAGAGAATAATGTTACTCCCTATGATAAAATTATATGTACAAGTTTGTAACCAAATTTCACCAACTTTACTGTGACAAAATATAAACCTTTTGACTACAAGCATAAAGGGCTGAGTTTTTGGATGTGCCACAATGTAGATGACAATCGAACGATAACATTTATTTTGAAAAAATTTTGCATTACTGCAAACATTACATTGGGATATACTAGAAGACCTACAATTTCTTCATCAGACTTGGAATTTTCTTTTAACTACCTCGCGCCCAATTGTTTGCCGAATAATTATTTACAGTCCTTGCATTACAAATCTTATGAATATGTATTCAGAAAGCTCCTGCAATTCCTTCACTTTTTAGATGTCATATTCATATATTATATGAATAGACTTTTCAATTCATCAAAAAAAGTGAGTGAACTGCAGGAGCTTTCTGAATATATTACAATTCCTGAATAGGTACTAATAATTTGGCAAAGAATTAAGCGTGAGAAAGTGAAAATAAAATTCTAAGTGTGATGAAGAAATTTTGTTTTCTATAACTATGATTTGTTTTAAAATACACTACATTATTTATATTTTAGAAATAAGCGTTTATATGTACCTTGTATTGAAAAGACAGTTTTAATAAACTTTAAAATACCACAAAACTGTATATTCTTCATTTTTATATATTATGGAATCAAACTTATAGTCCATTTTAAACAAAATATAAAAACACATAGTTTTATCTAACTATTAACTAATTCAGTTCTGATAGCTAATAAAGTTAAAACACACAACTTTAATGTTTCTTGATAACAACATCCAGTTCTATGTAAAATGTTGATCTTCTTCCGATTTTTCATTCCCTCGTCCTAAATTAATGTAGATGATGATCTCATCGCATATTGTAAAAGATCGAATATCCCAAAGTTCGTTGTAAGATACATCCTCCTTTTCGAAAAATAATCGCAAAAACCCGACCGTAAAGAAAACAACCAAAATTCCAGCTATTTATTACATAAAATGCAAAAGAATGCGAGGAATGTCGACAACCGACTAATCTTTTTAACATATTATTTACAAAACCGAAAAACACAATAACAAAAAAACCATCAAAACGCTACATCGTTTGATTTATACATCTATAACAAAAAACGGAGACTTCAGACTCCATCTTTTGGAATCTCCGACTATCATCCGGTTTTCAGTGACGTCACGAAACTTCTATAAAACAATCGGACCGACCAGTATCCAAACAAAACACAGTCGTCGTTCAAAGTGAAAGCTTTTAGAGATAAATCGTAGTGATTTTCCATTTTTACGTTTGATTTTTTAACTTTAATGTGCAAAATGTTCGGTTTTGGACTTTTGTTAATTGTTTGTGTGGTTTTTGGACAATCTCATGGTTCGGCTATACCTATGTGGGAATACTTGAGTAAGCAGGAAAAAGTAAGTACCGATTTGTTTTAACAGACATCAATAGTACATTAGGAAAGGTACCGACTTAATTTCTACCAATTTCTTATTTGTAATTTGATTTTTTTGGTAATTAGATCTGTTTTAAAATATTCTAGTCGATACCCAGCGAATTGTTGCTCTAAAAATAGATTTCAAGTTACAATTTTAATTTTAGAATTAATTTTGTGCCAACCGTAAATATCTATTTTAACAGAAATGGCTTTTTATCAAAATATTTTCAATATTAAAATGTAGAAATTTGTAGATCAGTAGGGGGTAGCATTATATCTATATTAAAGATAAATCTCTAAAGTTACAGAATACAACTATTTTCACATAATACAGTAAATTCTAAATAGACAGGAATTTGATATGGTTTATTTTCGTTGGAAACGTAGTTCTTTATTTTTGCAAATAAAATATATTTACTTGATTAGATACCGTAACTTTGCTTTCTTTTGAATAAATTATTCAGTTTACATCGAAATGATTTATCAATCTTTATTTAATATGTGATTTTACCATGTAAAAAACTATTTTTGGCTGTATACATTTAAATTATATTTACCTTGACTTAAGTTGCATGTACTTTATGAAACTTAAGTTTATCATGTGATCTTCTTTTATCTATCATTTGTATAATTATAGATAGGTATACACAATTCTCCGCTAGTTATACCGAAACTAAAAAAGGCGCCCACTTTTCGAGCACCCTTGTATGTCGTTAAAAGATCATAAATAAGAGTAATAACAAACACACAAAACCGGTATTGAAACGAAATCAGCTTCTACATCCTTGCTAATTCTTAACTTTCCAAATTACAATCTGAAGGAAGGTTAAATCGTTCCGCAAAAACAGGAAATAATTAATTTTTATTCGCAACGTCTCTTTAAGGATAAAAGAGAGTGCTAAATCAAATCATTCGCAATGTCCGCATTCTTGACCGCTGATCTCTTCTAAATAAGAAAAAACCTATTTCATATCCACAATATCCAATTTTTTACGATCACTTGGAAAATCTTCATAATAAATCAAATTAATCGTCTTCCTAGTAGTAGTAATTTTTATTTTAAGCCAAATCTCGAAATCGCAGAGAAAGTAACATGATACGCTAGTCACCACACCTTATTTTAAAATAATATAAATCAATCTATAGTAATTTGCCCTTTCTCACAATCCACAATTCAAATACACATGATCAAACTGATATACATAAATCTGAATACAAATCAGATTACTTAATAGCAATTAGATAAGACTTTTTATGATAAAAGTATAATATATGTAAAAAGCTTAAGACTACCGTTATTTGTTACATATTAATCCAAGTGCAAGCCCAGTGAATGCATTCTTGACTTTTTTATATTGATTAAAAAAATAAAACAGTTACGTTACATAATTCTTATATTATTGATTACATTATGCAACTTTCTAACAACGGTATTATTAAAAGGGTAATATGTACTTTAAAGATTATAATTTTCGCACTTTTTTTCTTATTAGTTCCTAGCGCGGAATGATTACTGTTTATCTCAAAGCAAAAGAGAAAATCATATAAAATTAAGAAGCACTGTTAAATCTCATCCTATTTAGCAAAGAATTATATCCAATATTTATGTTTTTAATTATATTTCATTCAATTATTCTTCCATATATTCAACTTCTTGATAAATTCTCTATTGAGTTCAAAATTTAGGTGACTTAATAAACCTTAAATAACTTAAACCATCGGAACTTTAGAAAAATATTTTGAATGTTACAAAATATTACTTCTTGGCTGTTCTTAATAATAAATGCTTGTGTAATTACAAGAAATGCTTATTAAATATTTTTTCTTTGTTACAGACGTCTTTCCTTTACTCAATGTTCGCCACTCAAGTGGAAAATATCTGTGAATCATCCAGCATTCAAAACTGCAACAGAGAATTGCTTAAATATGGTCTTAACAAACTAAAGAACTTGCCTGAAGAATATTTGGACTCAATGGACCCCTACCAAAGAGGAGGAAGTACAATAGGTAGGTTATAAATCTTTTTACACAAACTTTTTACATTATATTTCATTGTTCATTTCCAAATTTATTTTCGCTCTTCTCATTGGATACTTTCTACTTCTGCATCATACAACTTAAGAAATACTTTTTAATTAACATTTTCTCTTGCTTGTTTCAGTTTGGGACACCATGATGGCAGGTCACCCTCTAGCCAATGCTATCCCACGCCCCCGATCCACTACTACAGCAAAGCCCAACAGTTATGAAGATGAACCCTTCAGCGACTTTGACTTCGGTTCTCAAGGCTCAGCTTCAGCAAAAATCGATAACGTCGTAGTAGTAGCAGCACCGAAAGATATCCTCAACCAATATAGAGTACAGCCAAGCGGATACCAACCACAAAACATCGTCAGTTACTTAAACAGTATTGGAAGCGACAAAAAGGGACCTTACCGTAGATTCCAAGAGCAATATCAAACCAGTACTACCAGTACTACTACTGAAAGAGCTCTAGTAGATCCTATGGATGAAGGGATGTACGATGATGCTCCACTTACTGGTCCTATGGTTGTAAGAGTTTATCCAGATGGTACACCAGTCAAGGAAAATTTGCCTCTTCCTCAAGACGATGACTTGAGGCAGTACCAAATGTCTCAAGTGAAAATCCCCAACTTTTAAGCTTCATAACACAGAAGCTCGTCGTTAAAATTGTGATATTTTTGTAAATATTTATTTTCGTTGGCTGTATGAATGGATGGATGAATGAATATTATTTATTTGAATGCATTTGTGATTTATTTATTTTGCCGTTCTTGTGACGTATGAAGATCGCAGTGTCTGTGATTTTGCTTAGTATCCAGATTTGTTCTGGAAGTATTTATAAGTTATGTGATTTTAAGATATTGTAAATATATGTGCAATAAACTTTATTAAAATATTCGACATTTTATTTTTACTGTCCAACTCAAGTAGATTAAGTAACAGGTTTTACTAATGACCAATATGTTCTTCTCCACTATATTAGCATATAAGTTTTATTTACTCCCATAATAAAATTAGTATTCAAGGATATATTGAAAAAAAAAATAAAGCACAATAATTTTTACCAACTATCAAAAAAGTGTCCATAAACTAGTATCAAAACAAAAACTTCTTTCTAAACACTTAATTAGTTATAAAAACAATGGAGAGCTTGAGCAACATACTAATATGTAAGTTTATTCACTTTTAAATTATAAACGTCATAAATACATAATTGCCAAACACAGTAGCAAGAAATATACCGTAAATTAACTGACAAGCTTCTCACGCAGGTATACCAAAACAACATATTATCCATAAACAAAAACAAAGACAGCATAAAAAAAATAATGAAATGACTTACTGACAATTTCCCAAAAGAAATATTTGGAAGACATCATCACCTCTAATTTGTCCATTGTTAAACATAGGCCACCTCTATCTAGATATTTCCATTTATTTTTGTTCTGCGCTTCAGCTTTGCAATTGGTCGCAATTCTTTTGAGGTAGTTAGCCCATCATTTTACGACTTTGCGTGTCTGCCCGTGGTCTCCAATCAAACAATTTCCATGTGCACCTGTCGTCTTTTATTCTTGCAACATGTCCAGCCCATCTCAATTGTTGCCTTATACGTAATACATTCGATAATGTCTTCCATTCCTGTTGTTTCTTAGGGAGAGCGCACACCAAACTGGCATGGCAAGTAGCGCACGTCTAGCATGTTACTTAAAATGTAACCAATGCAAACGAATGATTCAGCACACACTAAAATGACAGTGGCGTCATGCAGCTTGCTACGCCACATCGTTAAAAATAGAGCTTGTTCTACTTTTTGCCACGTGCTACATGCATTTTGCATGTGTGTTTATTAAAAAATGTAAATATGGAAGACAGTCCAGAATTTAATATTCGTTTTGACTTATTAATTGAGAAATTTACAGGTATCTATGACAACACAAGTCTGGAATTTTTTAATTCGTTAAATACATTAAATCTACTATGCTCTTGCATCTCTTTCCAATAAGGGTGTACCCAAAACTGACGTTGCGGACGAGTTTTGTACATATTGTTGACGTTTAAAAGCGTTAGTATAACTTTATCCTAAAAGGGCGATATTTTGAAGTTAACTAGCCTTTTTAATGTCATGCTACTTTAGTGTGCGCTACCTGCCATGTTAGTGCCGTGCCCGTGCTATGTCACTGCCATGTTACATGTCACGCCAATTTGGTGGGCGCTCTCGCTTAGTCTATTCCTTAAGGATATTTAATAATAATAATAATAATAATAAATTGCCTTTATTTAGTCTGTAAAATCTTACAAACACTAGGTACATGAGGCGAAGTCTAGCTAGAGCTACTCCACTTAACCTCAAGTTTACAAAATTAGTTTAAAATAATTTGAAAATGAAAAAAGTTGGAAGTGAAAAAATAGTCATGTGGCTACTAGAAAAATAATATATAAAAAAAATAATTAAAAAAAAAAATAATAATTTAAAAAATAATTAAATAAAAATAATAATAATATTTCAAGCATTGATCTCTCCATTTGACATTGCGTTCTCAATTTCTCCGCTAATGTTTTTGTGAGGGTTAAGGTTTCTGCTCCGTATGTGAGGACTGGCAAAACAAACACTTCCGATTGCAGCACAACCTAAATTTACTCTTCTGAGTAGCTCAGTTGTCTGGTTGTCTAGCATTAGTCGATCTTCGGGCATTCTTTGGCATGTCCATATCATCTTAATTATTTGGTACCAATATAACTGGCTATTATATGATTTACTTTCATGATTTCTCTTATTCTACTGTTAGTAACTCTCCACAATCTCGATTTTCCTGCCTCTCTTGTATTTTTTTCTTTATCTGCTATACTTCTACTACTGTAGGTGATTATACTTTTAATAACTGTGTTATATATCCTACGTTTGTTATTGATTGATCCCAAAGCACACATATTGCAGCTGAATACTCCTTACAAGCTGGTCATTTTTTTTAGACGTCCATATAATTGCTCAAACTAGGATTTCACAAGTTGCCGAAGTTTTTACATTTTAGTAATAATTTGGAAAATACAAAGAGCATTGAACATTCTACCACTTATTGAAAGTATAAAAAGAGCATGTATGCAGATACCATTAGAGGAACATTTATCTTGCGATGGCGAAAAGCAAGTAATATAGTTTAAAGATCGTTTAAGTATCAAAACGTGCAATCCCAAAAGACTTACTAGTTGTACTACAAGATATGGGTTGCCTCAAGTATTTCCGCATTTTCATAAAATTTTCGTTGGAAAAGATGGTTATACAGAAGCGACCACAATTACTTGGTGCAACTAGTAATGTACGAATGAGCAGAGAAGTTCCAGACAATAAAAAATATAAACTATATTATGACAATTACTTCTCAAATATTCCATCTGCGTCCTTTTTGTCAAAAAAGGACATAAAGTCTCTGGCAACTGTCCGCACAAAGATTAGCAAAAGAAACAAATGAAAGTCTTGCAAAGGGGAGTCTTGCAAGATCAAACAACTGTGGATCTGAACCATTAGAAAAAGTAAAAAGGTTCTTTCGTAAAAACAGGATTAGAAAAAATTGATTGTCCAGATATTGTACTAAAATACAATAAACATATGAGGGAGTTGATCTTCCGGATTCCTTATTTGAATTGGTTACAAATGCAGAAATGGTATCACTGGCTTTTTTACATGATAGATGTTGCAGTAGTCAATTCTTGGTTTATAGATATGCGAATAAAGCGACAATTAGGAAAATCTGATGATGTTATACCACTATTCAATTTCAAAACAGTTCTCGCAGAACAACTTAACCACAACGGTATACTACAAAGACAAAAAAAACAAGTCGGCCTAGAATTTGAACTCCAGAACAACCATCAAAAAGGAAGTATATTGATCCAAGATCCAATATATATGTACAAATGGATCAGTTTTCTAATTGGCTAGAATTCACTGTCAATAGGAAATATGTAACATGAAAAAATGTAAAGAAAAATCAACCATGGTGCTTTCATTCCAAAAGCAATATTGTTTTGGATTTTACCATAGGTTGTTAGTTTTTTAGACTTTTTCAGGTTAGACTATGATGATTTTATAACAAACCAAATTATTTGCATACTGTTCTCAAATGGGCACATACTATTTTTAAAATAAAGTGTTTTTTAACTCTCGAGCGCGCGACTATACTCAATGCCAGCAGCAGAAAAACTTATAAATTAAATGCCAAAGATCCATTCTTATCCTTAATATAAAGTTATAAATAAACGTAAATGAGAGATAGTTAAATCACATATTTTATTTAAAAAAAAATACAAAAATAAAATAATATTCTACAATATAATAAACCTTTTTCCTAACCCATTTGGTCCCACAATACTCGTCCGGGTGCAGCAGCAAAAATGGTTCAGTAATGACACATCTTGCAAAGGATTGCTACTACATCTATACATTTGCTTTTATTAGGAAGTGCTCTACTACATTTTCACAAATTATAGCCTAGGTGGCGCTCCTCTTCCTAGCTGTTGCCGCTTGGATCATTGAAGTGTTTGCTATTTTGTGATTTGATATATTGATATTATTAATTTACCATTTTTTTAACTTTTATTGTTTAAAGGGTAAGTGCTGGTAATGTTTATTTATACAGCATAAGAATCTTTTATTGTTGTTGTTTTTGTTACAAAGAAGACATGTACTCATTTGAGTACAGTGAGTTTGTATATATATTCAGGGACTCTACAGTATTCACTGTCTTCCCTCGCCCAACCGCTTCCATCTCTCTCTGTTCTAACATTCTCCATCGTTTAGGCCTCTCTTACTCATGGCGTCGTCTACTTCGTTCTTCCAGGATCTTCGGGGTCGTTCTCTTTTCCTCCTTCCTATGGGGCTCCATTCGGTTATTCTTTTTATCCATCTGCTGTCGATAGTTCTTCTTACATGTCCATACCACTTTAGTCTTTTTTGTGTTATATATGTTAGTATGTCTGTTTCTATTGATGTTCTGTGCTTTATTTCGTTATTACTTCTTCTATTCATTCTTGTTACTCTGCAGCATCTTCGCAGTCATTCCATCTCTGTTGCTACAACCTTACTGCAGTGTTTTCTTGTTTATAATCTAATTTTCAGCCCCATATGTCATAAGACTTCGCACTAATGTTTTATAAATCTGTGTTTTTGTCTTTATATTTAAAGTGGTTAAATTGTCGGATTGCTGTTCTTGTTTGTCCTAAACTTTTCCTAATTTCTTCCTCTGTTGTTGCCTTCTTCATGATTAAAAACCCCAAGTATTTGAATTTTTGTCCACGTGAGTTTGTATGAGATTAAATAGGTTAACTTGGTTTTTTTATTCTTTCAGGTTCAATATTTGTATTGGAATAGATTTGCAAGAATTGCCGACTGTAACTTCCATTGGATTTTATGGAAAACGTTTTAAAACACTGGCTTTAGCTTCAGATGACCTAGCAAGTTCCACTCATAAAGCTGTAGAATAGAGATTCATTGCATGAGTAATGACTCTGACAACGACGAAGAACACAATCTTCCTCTTGACAGTAGAAGGGAAAATTTATTGAACAGTCAAAATATAACCAAAGAATCTGACTGGACGGAAGAAATTACTGAAATTTGTATTGACATCTACAACAGGTTTACAAGGGTCATCCAGATGATATGAAAGAGAAAATCAGAGGTAAATCTCTTCTCGAACTATTTAGGAAATTCTTCGACAATATTGAATATATATAGGGCAGACAAATTTATATGCCGCTCAAACTAACAATCATCAATTTCATATAACGCAGGAAGAGATAAAGATTTCTGGCTACTTTATTTTTTACTGAATACCATATACACTGTCTGCTACAAGAGCGCAATTATTGGTATTTAGATGAGGATCTTCAGGTTCCCCTCGTGACTAAGAAATGGAGGTGGTAAAATTTTTTAACCACATGCTGAACTCGGCTCTTGTTAATTAGTGGGGAATCCAAATATTAGCTGCAAATAAAAAAAATGGATCTTTTGGCTTTTCAACAAGATGTACTACTGAAGAACTTTCGGGAAATCTACTTATTCTAGACTAACAGGGTCTACACCAATTAGTCTAAAAATGGATGAAAGCGGTCATTTTTCAAAGAAAATAGACAAACAACTTCGATGTCGCTTCATGCTTCACCGCGGCGATGTCATCAAAGAGTATCTTGGACTTGTATAAAGTGTGAAGTTACTGTATTTAGAACATGATTGTTTTGTACAATTTCATACTCGTTAGATTATAATACAGGATATACCCAAATATGTACATTTATTGTCAAAAAATAAAACATTTCATTTTTACACAATGTTTGACTCCCTCTCAGCCCATTCTATTCTTTGTATAAGTACAGCTACTTTTTGCTAAAAACTGTGTAAATTTGTAAAAAAATAGTGAATGTTATTAATATGTGTCCGTAGAGGTGTCGATGTCTGCCTCGAGCTGGATGTCTGGATCAATTTTTTTTAAGAATTTTATTTCTTATTCGGGTGCAGCTAATATTCATTTTTCGGTCATTTAGTTTAGGGTATATTTTTGCCAATAGATCTAGGACTTCGGAAATTTCATCGGTATACATCCTTGCAATGCTTAGTATGCCAGAAGATCCGGTACAGTTTTCGAAGAAATCGATTAGTTTTTCACATATAAGTGATAGCTGGAATTTTGGTAGCTAAATAATTCTTCTGTTAGTTTTAGCATTTCCTTTAGCGTGTTTTTGGTTGCTTGTTTTGCTTTAATTTACACTTTTTCTCTTTGTTTTTTGGTAATGCAAAAATATATTCTGATAAAACTGTGCGTTTTGTGGTACTGGATGTTTCTATTTGGTTAGTTGGTAGTTTTGTGCTTAGTGTTTCATGTTGCACATGTTTTACATATATAACTGACACTTCGCGTAGCGTCAATAGACTCTTCCAACTGTGTACAGCGCCTTACCAAAACGATTCTGTAGTAGAAGCAGGAAGGAGCTACTACGAATACGCTATTTCGTGGCGCCGTGTCAAACGCTATTTCCGTGATGCTCGCCTCAGCATTTTACTATAGAGAAAAAGTAATACAACGCCAGTATAGATGCTTCGCTACAAAAAAATAATTCATACGAAGCCCTCAGAACTTTCCAAAAGTCCGCCAGTCAGAGTGTTAAAAGCGATAAAAATAAGAATCGGCTATTCTTAATAATTTTTTAACAGTATAACGTTACGTATTCTTCGTATATTTTGGCCTAATCAAATATCGAATGAAAATTTATGGTATCACACCAACCAAGAAAATGCCATAAAGCAAACAAGGCGGAGGACATGGAGATGTCTGGACCACACACTCCATAGTTCCCTACATAACATTCCCAGGATAGCGCTAGGTTAGAATACTAAAGGCCAACGGAAAGTCTAAAAAAAACTTGGAAAAGGACAGTGCTGGAATGAAGAGAAAAAATAGGAAAATCCTTGAATAAAATCAAAGCACTAGCAAGAAATAGATCGTTTCTAGGAATGCCACAATGATCTAATTTCATGGTAGTATTAAAATTATGTTGTATGTTTACAATGATAGCGAAAAAACAACTGAAAAACAATTATGTAAAAAGTGTAAATAGAGAATCACTTTCTTGGAGTTAGAGTAAATCTAACTCCAAATTACCAACATTCAAGTTACAATAACATTGGCGTTCATAGAGTAGAAATTAAAACAGAAAAATAAAATACAAATACAATCTGGAGTAAGTAAAACACATGTAATTCATATATCACACTTTATTATGACTTATGCTATATGTACATAACGCTACTTGTCTACACTTCACTTAAACAGAGGTTCAATAGCCCTCAAAAATTCTTCATGAAATTTTTGATTGCTAAAACGGTCGGTTGAAGCTCTTGCCTTCGCTCTAATCTCATTAATCTCGGCATCGTCCAATTGCAAAATGAATTTAATTATGTGAGCAAACTCATCAGGAGTTTGAGCTAAAAACCCTAGCCTGGATCCTTCTGAAGTTTCTATAATATCCAATAAAGGTCCGCCTGATCTATGCGCCACCATTATGAGACCTGCTGCCATCTGTTCGACTACGCCAATACCAAAGTGTTCATCGAGCATAGTGTGGATACCGATCCAGGAATTTTTTAATTCTTCTAGTAAATCACCATAACTAATATTCACCTTAAATTCTACGTTGTTTTCTAGGCTTAAATGCTTACTAAAGTCTTTTAAATCTTTCACTCTCCTACTGTCTTCTGCATTTCTACAACTACCACATAACACTAAAGTTATGTTGTTGAATACCTCTTCTGGTACTATTTCACGCAGCTCATATAATGCTTGAAGTTGTAGAGGATGGTCCTTCTCAGGTCTAAATTGAGCCAGAGACATTATTCTAATATTTTTTGGTCGAGTTTTATCTCTTTGGAGTTTTTTTAGATGATCAGTCTCGCAAGGCGGATATACAAGGTGAAGTGGTCTGTTCCAAAGTGAGTTAAGATGTTCCATGGTGAATGTTGAGTTCACCAAATTTATATCAGATGATTGGCCTGCTAAAGAATAAGCCTAAAATTAAATAAGCAAGATATTAAAAAAAGTTTACCAACTATAATTTTATAAAAATAAAATAAACCTCCGAAAATCTCGTATAGGATAATCCAGAGAATTAACATTATCATATACAATGTGTCTCAGGGTAGATTTTAGTTCTCACTATACGCCGGTCTTGTTCGACATTTCAGGGAAACGGTACCTACTTCGGCAGTGTAGTCGACACGTGCAGATTTTAATTACCGTGTGACAATGGACGAAGATGTAAAAAAAATTAGAGAAGGCGGATTTGTTAGAAATATGAAACATCCACGCAAACCAAAAACTATTCGAACGTCTCCCAATATTGAGAGAGTTTGATATGCTGTGAATCGTAATCCTTGACGTTCACTTTGCAAACATACACCAGCGCTTAATTTGTCTCTTGTCAGTATCCAGCATATTTTAAAGAAGAATTCAGTTAAGCCAATAATTGATCACTTACTGAGGAAAACTTTTTCTCTTTCGTTTTTAGGATAAAGGTGGCTTAGATGGAATTATTTTCAGCGACAAGGCTCACTATCACCTGAATGTATATTACTCCAGTCACTCGGGCTATTTACCTCCCAATTTTGTTGGACCGAACTGATTTACTTGAAATTTAGTAAGTTAGTGGAAACGTGCTTAAATAACAAAAGTTATATAACGCTGATAAGTGCTTCCGCGCCAGGGGGAAAGTTTTTGCTTAAAATAATTACGGTAATCGATAGAGCATTAAATTCTAAGCAACTTTTGTTCTATAGAGTTTTTTCAGAAAGTCAATACTGTTTAAGCCATTTTGGTTAACAACAACGAATTTTCATTAAAAAAAATCACGTTCTTAAACTGTTTTTCATGAATAACTCAAAAAATACGACTTTGATCGAAACAGTATACAAAACAAAAATTAATCTTGTAAAAGAAGAATGATACTTATTTTTTACAAGATATTCTAGATACAATACAAAGTGAGATATGGTCAGTGAAATGAGAAATTTTTTTGGCGAATATTTGGATCAATATTACAACGTTACATTGTAAGGGCTGATTTTTCGGGGGTAACACTACAAACGTATTTTTATAGTCCATGAAAAGACCTTTAAAATAAGCACCACAAAAAGTCATTTGCATATAAACTGAGTAAGTTACTGCTCATAAAAGATGGACCATTCAAATATTTTAAGGAAAAAGGGGCAGTTGTATAAAAGTTGTAAATTGTATCAGTACTACAGTAGTGATCGTGCCGTGAATAGTGAACAGTGTAGTAGTGTCTGGGGGCTCGGGAGACTGAGACCTCGGTAGCCCTGAGGAAGGCATCAGAGAGGATGCCGAAAGCTTGGCAAAATGGATTACGACGCGGTTCAACCCGGAAGACTGGTGAGTTTAATATTAATTTTAGTAATAATATTAATCTTAGCTCTAGGTTTTATTGTACTAACCGCGGAAATCTTTCCGAACATATATATATTGCTACGATGTTTTGTGTTTTGTTTGTGTATGTGCAATGAGTGTTTTAAAATAACATATATAAGTATAGGGTTTTTATCGCGGTTTCCAAAGAATTAGTTTGTAAGTACTTTTTTAAATTATCTTTATTATAATTATTATGAAACACACATATATCTAATATAGACAATATAAATTTAAAACAACTTATCTTAAATTTGAAATTCTTGCAAAATTAAATTATATTAACAAAATTTGGTACCTTTCTGTCACTGAATGCCTAAATGAAATTGTTTTCCAAAATAAAGGGTTTAATCACCAATTTGTTTCAGCCTCGATTATCCTTGTTTTTGTGAAATTACTTTTTCCAAATACACCACAATCTTTTAATTATCAGCTTCCACCAATTTAAAATATTTTTCTTCTTAATAGCATTTATGTTTATTCTTCTTTTTAATATACCAATCTCCAATCACCATATAACTATTATAATTTTAATTTGTTCTAATCTCCAATCACCATATACATAATATAATTTTTATTTTCTTCTAATCTCCAATCACCATATACATACTGTACTGTATAATTACTACTCTAATACTGATCACTAATATACTATATACTATGAACTGCTTGTACTATTTACTAACTTCTTAATGAATTCACTCACTAACTGTCTTATTAATTTACTCTCATACTGTCCAACTGTAACTGTCTGTCTCACTGTCCAACTGTAACTGTTCTAATTGACTCTCATACTGTCTCACTGTTACCCTTCTATCAAGAATTTTATGGACATTTAGGCTTTCAGATCAGAATATAAACTTATTATAATTTTAATTTGTTCTAATCTCCAATCACCATATACATAATATAATTTTTATTTTCTTCTAATCTCCAATCACCATATACATACTGTACTGTATAATTACTACTCTAATACTGATCACTAATATACTATATACTATGAACTGCTTGTACTATTTACTGACTAACTTCTTAATGAATTCACTAACTGTCTTATTAATTTAATCTCATACTGTCCAACTGTAACTGTTCTAATTGACTCTCATACTGTCTCACTGTTACCCTCCTATCAAGAATTTTATGGACATTTAGGCTTTTCAGATCAGAATATAAACTTATATAAATTAGACATCTTAAATTAATACATAACACTATTTTACATCCGTAATTATTATTCAAATATCACTTTCTGATGAAATTCACTCTTATGTCATAATAACACAGACTCAATTCAGTGTATATTTGGTTGCCTATGCACATGGCTCACTTAAATATATCTATTATTAAAATAAAAATAAAAAAACTTTTTAACTTATTATATGCTAATTTCTTAAGAATACCCTCATATAAATAATTTTTATAATATTCTCTAGTATATAACTTATAAATTATTTCTTTAATCACTATTTAATCACCTTAAAAACAAAAAAGATATTTTGTCCATGTATTATGCAAAGGAGGGTAAGACAAGTTAACATCCAAATTTCAATCCGACACAATTGGGAGGTAAGGTCCTATTTACTAGAGTTACTAGATTATATGTCAACAAGCACAATGCTAACTATTGGTGTTCTAAAAATCCAAACCAATTACACCAGAAACAGTTGCATTTAAGAAAGGTGACAGTTTGGTGTGGCATTTCTGTATGACATGGATGATCTTACTTTTTTGAAGATTGTTGGGGGGCGCATGCTAACTGTCAACAGTGCATGATACACTGCCGTGTTATGAAATTACCTAGGTCCAGAATTGGTTAATTTTCCAGAGTATAATCCAGAGACAACACATCGATACATTTTTTGCAAAGTAACGTAAGTCACCAAACACGATTTGTAGAAAAATCAATTTTTTAATTCAACCTGGTTAAACTTATTTAAATTATGACTGAAAAAACTTGTCCTAAAAAAGGTTTAAAGTAATTCTAGGGTTACTACACTTTGGCAGTACCTTTTTAACAATAATAGTGTTAGTTTAATTGAAAAACATGATTTTCACCAAAAATGTCACTTACATTACTTTGCCAAAAATGTATCGACATGGTTCCAGCAAGTTCTGTATGACACAGTGAACACTTCAATAAACACCCTGACATATATGTTTCCAGGCACACTATTTTTATAAAATAGCGACATTCATCATCATCTTCTTTGGCTCGACAATCCTCTGTGGATCCTGGTCTGCTCTAAGATTAGTCGCCATTCTGATCTAGTTGCCATCTTCTGATCTCTATTCATTTTCCTTAATATCTCCAGACCTTATCCCTTTAGGTTTTTTTCTGTGGGAGAATTTAAAGAACATCACTTAGGTACTCATGGTAACTCACCAGCCACCATCAAAGAGCTGAAGCAAAATATTTGCAACGCTATTAACAACATTCCAGAGGATACATGGAAGTGTGTCTTTCTCAATTTGTGATCCACATTTGCAAGAATGCTACATGCGAGATGATCAACATCTAACAAATGTGTTATTCAAGAAATAAAATCAGCATGTACTGTGTGTCTATTTTAGTAATACATGTTATTCTTACAGGTTCCAAAATCATATTTTATTGATTTAAAAACTAAAATCTACTCTAAGACACCTTGTATATTAAATTAAAATAAACAAAGGGAACAGTATATACTAATAAAAATAACTGCTCCATAATTTACAGATTATTATACTCAAAGTATTTAATACATATATATTTTAAAATATATTTTTGTATAAAACTGGAATTCATTACAATACTGTTAAAAGTGATTTATTTTTATAATTTTTGTGAGGTTTCATTCATCTATATTACTTTTGACAATCATTTCAAAATCCAAAGTTGTCAACTATTTGTTTGTTTTGTAGTACTAACTTAACCTTAAAATTCTATATAGAAAGTATGTTTTTGCTCTACTAATATTTAAACATTTTTCTTCAAGAGTTCATCTTCACTGTTTCAATATCTGCTCTAATTCTATTTCAATATTTCTTATTAACACATCATCAGCATACATTAAACATCAAAGAATGTTGACTTTCTCAGATAATTGTTGGCTCTTGTTAGAGATGTTTAAACATTTCTAACACAGTGAAATGTGTCAGATAACCTTTAGCTTTTGTACTAAACTAGAATTAACCTTAGGTTTTTTTGTTTTCCCATAAGAAATGAGAGGGTGCATCCACTAATGTGCTAGAAATAGCATAGCTCCTTTACTTCCAAAAAGAAAAATAATCCTCTATAATAACCCAAAAAAAGTGGAAGTAGAAAATACAATTAACCAAAGTACAAATGAAAAATCCTCAGGTCAAATATCATTCGGCTGAATTACTTCTAAACTTCTAAATGATGAGAATATATCAGAGCTAACAAACATTTATAACTACATTTACGAAACTCAAAGAATTTCATAAATATGATTGGAGGATAGTCATCCTAATACATCATCATGTAAAGAATTTAGACTAATTAGTCTCAAAAGTCACTCTACCAAACTGCTTCTCAAGATAGTTCGCAATAGAAGTAAAGAGAAATATGAAGAAAAAATTTAGAGTCTATGTTAACATTACTCTAAAGATTCAAAATCCAAAGTTGTCAACCTGCTTAAAAAATTTTCAATGTGTCTTTGATTTAGTTCATTTAGTTCAACACAATAGGCTGTTTGAATATCTAGAGGTAATGAGAATAGATAATGGAGATTTAAGACATACCAAACTTATATTGGAGACAGAAAGCCTGTATGTATTATGGTAGACAAAAATGAGATAAACAAAATTGTCATTCAATGCGGAGTCAGACAAGGTGGTGTGTTGTCCCCAGCTGTGTTTAATGTATGCTCGGAAATAATATTTAATTAAGCTTTAGAAGGACAATGTGGAATTCAAATTGGGAGAGAAACTAGACTAAAAGTGGTTAGTAAACAAGACTTTGACCCTATGAAACTAATTTTCAACAATAAGCTCATATATCATCTGTATATACATATACTATACACAGGTAAAACCTGGAGCATAAAAGTTTTTATTATAAACAAATTAGAAGCCTTCAAGATTTGCTCTTACTGTAGAATGCCTAAAATATCATGGGTTCAACCCATTTCAAACATAGAAATATTAAACAGAATAGGTCAAGGCAAGACGACTTAAGGAAAACGATAAAAAAGAGAAATCTTAAATACTTGGAACATATAATAAGAGGTAGTAAATACTAGAATAACAGAAAGTTAGAGGGAAAGAAGGGAATTGGTAGGAAGAAAAATATTCGTGTGAAATTTTTGTCAATAGATAATTATGCATATAAAATATTTTAAAATGTCATGTGGCTTCTTCTTAAGGTATCTTTTCCCTTACTGAATGTTGGCGATAATTACAGCAAATTACATTTTAAGCTGTTCTTAATAATGAATGGGTGTTCATAATTGTCTTATCTCTTAATTTCTTCAGGAATGAGCATTTACTCCTCCATTTACACTATTATAGTAGTAATTCCATTTTTAAATGAACATTAGATACACTGTTTTTGTTCTAATAAGCTTTAAATCCTTTTCTTAACAAAATTATACATTAGAAAAAATATAAATAAAAAAGTTGGTAGCCTACACTTACCCAAGCAAATATATGATAATATACCAGTTTTCCCATGGTAAGAATAGGACTTCTTGCTATTATACTCCTATTGTTATATAAGGACTGCCTGTTGGACACTCTTTTCAACATGTCATTTGTAATAATTGGATAATGTATGTAGCAACCAGTCTTGCAACCACCAATGTATTTGAAGATTGGAATGACAAATGTAAAGCCTGTGGTTTCAATAAAAATATCTAAAAGAAATAAAAAACATATACAGCGTTGGTACCTTCTTCAAAAAATGAAAATAAATGTGCTTATTTTTATATTATCATTTTTTAGATGATTTTGTTTGTTGGTTAGAAAAAGGAATCATGAAACGAAAAATGGATTCAAAAAATTCAAAAAACAACAGCATAACATTTAAATTTTTATATTACCTGGATTTAACCTATTCAAGGCTTCAAAGCCTAAGAATACAGACCCCAAAGCCTGTCCCAAAAGGGTGAAATAGGGATACATATTTGCTTCAAGCCATTTTCTCCTATGGAGATAAATAAATTTTATATTTTTTTCTAGATTCACATTTAATCTGGTTCTAACTTTATCCAAAATTTCTTCTGGAGTTGCTTCTACATCACCTGTGTAAATATAAAACTCTGCTTTAGGATACCTAAAATCCATAATGGCATAATTATAAATTACATTTAACACATTGCCTGCCGTCTCAGTCTATGTGACTGAGCAAAAAATTGCCCTGCATGCCAACAAGTGACTGCCAATGTAACTGTCATGCCCTGGAAACTTCTATGCATGATCTTGGAACATTACGCCATCACTTTGACTCCAGGCAGTTAATAAAGAGAAATGACAGCATATCTCTCTCACAAAGACTTTATAGCCAATCATTAATTTTAACACAGTCTCGGGGTGACCATAAAATAATCAAACGAAGCTTAATTACACAATGTCAATTCTTTCAAAAGTAATGACAGATCATCTGTTTGTTTACAAGTTTTCAATTTTATTTTATTATCTTTAACTTTCGTTTGCATTTATTCTTAGTAATTTTAATTTAAGTTGGTTACTTAGTTTTTAAAGTTTAGTTTGAGTTACCTATTGCAGCAAAGAATTTTTGTGTCGTGCTAGTAAAAAAACTAAACATGGTGAATTATTGTATTGCCCCGTTGTGTACAAATCACGGAAAAATTACAAAAAGGATGACGATAGTAAGTTGTCAGGAAGCAAACAATAAGTATTTAACATTTGTTTCTGAAAATATGTGTAATAAATATTATATAAACAGTTTATAACTGTTTTATCTTAAATATCAAAATATACATATATCTCGAAAAAATTGTGCATTTTTTATATATCCTTTTATTTTTTAACAATATATGTGAGATTATTTCATTGGAAAATAGTAAGATATTTTCCAGTAAATTTTAAATAGTAACAAAATAGCCTGCAAGAGGCGCTAAAGGTTATGTATGTAAGGGGTGTCCATTTACATTTACGAAATGTATACATTGAGTTACCTATCTATTTCTAATATTATATTATTTATCTATGGTAACTGTAATGTCCGCTCGGTCACTATGGCGTGAACAGAAAGTATTACAAAGTCCTCTACGGCAGGCAACTTCTTAATGAGTGGGAAAATCAATTATATTTGCACAATGCCTGATATGGTGTATTAACCTAAATTTCACATTAATTGATACATTACTTTTATAGATCTAGAGGTATTGTGTTTAATGGGAATATATGGACCAAAACATAAAATATATATAATTTCAAAAAGCATTGCTAAAATTTATGCTGGTAGATGGAAACAAATTGTGACAGTTTTAGGAAATCTTCAAAGTAGTTTTTGCTACTGGTATATGGACATAAAGCATTTAATTTTAAATTATATACCCTATAGAGCCACAATGTATATATAGACAATATATAAATGAGCTTAAGAAATAAGTAATAAACTAGAAGACCAAAGATTAATTTACTAAATAATGTTTTTAACTTGAAAATTGGGTCCCAAAATTTAAATGATGTAAAAAATGTTTGAAGGTGGTGCTATAAAGACGATAAATTCATGTTCATTATAGATTAATAGAAGTTTATGTGAAATTATAAAGTAAATAAAAATCTACTAAAGTAGGTATATCATTTCCAAATTACTTAATAATAAAATAAATATTAAATGTTTCATACTTTTTCTGAAGTGCTTGTAATGCTACCCATAAGACTTTTTCTCCTCCACCACCCGCATTACAGTAGGGATGAAATATGCCTACCCTTAATTTACTGGAAAGATTCTTTAATTTATCTACACTGTATTTTCTTTTTAAATATAAGTAATACACTGGAACAACAATTCCGACAGAAAGTACCACAAATATTACGGCAGCAAGGATTAACTTAATAATAAAAAGCAGGAACTGTCTAAAAAAAATAAGAAATGTAATATGAAATGTTTAAATTGTTAATGATTACTTACATCATTTTAACTACCCCACGCATCTTGCATACGATAAGATTTACAAAATTACAAAAAAATTATAGGTATGTATGAGTCATATTTAACAAAATATTGTTAAAATAATTTTTGTAGAAGTACATCAGTCTTAAAAATATTGACGTGCGTATTTTCCATAGGTAAAATATATAATAATTTGACACATTTGACACTGACAACTTGTGCACGTTGACTTGATTGACAGAAGTCTAAATGTTTGACAGTCAAGGTTGCAACTCTTCCCTGCCTTCAAAATAATCCAGATCAAAATCATCATCCACTGATCTTTTACTGGTGATAAACATTAAAAGTTATTTTACAATTTTCTTCAGTGTGCTAAAAGAAAGTAATAATGTTAAGCACGCTTGGATTACTACTAAATAATACTTACTACTTTTTAACAGTGCATTAGAGAAAGCCATGAGGTCGGCCGAAATAAAAACAGAATTGCTATCGATTCAAGATCCCAATGCAGATGACATAGATCTCGTTGGAGACTCCATCCTATCCACACAAGTGAAGTAGGGCTGAAGATTAATGAAGAGAAGACGAAATATATGTGTATAAATAGAACGACACGAAGAGAAAGAATAGGACAAAATGTAACGGTCAACACCTTCAATTTCGAAAGAATACAACGTTTTAAGTATCTGGGGACCGTAATCACAGCGGACAACGATGTTACTGAAAAAATATAAGACAGAAATCCAATCTGATAAACCGCTGTCTATTCGCACCAGATAAGCTCATAATATCAAAAAATCTTACAAAAAGTTCAAAGATCAAAATCTATAAATCCATCGTCAGGCCTGTAATAACATACGGATGCGAAACGTGGACCATGACCAAAGCAAACGAAGAAAAGCTCAGACGCTTTAAATGAAAAATACTTTAGTTTAATTCATGAGTCATATCAGACGTAGAGATGAAAACTATGTGGGACGAAAGATAGAGCTGTTAAAAATTGATGGAAGGGGAAGTAGAGGAAAACAAGAGAAGATGGAAGGAATGTGTGTCAGAAGACTTGAAAGAGAAAGGTTTACTTGAAGAAGACCCGATGAATAGAATTGTGTGGCGACGAAGAGTAAGAAATATAAACCCCTGAAAAGCGAAGAGCTGAGGAAGAAGAAGAAGAGAAATTAAGCTGAAGCGCTACAGAAAACGAAGTAAGACACCAAGCTACGAAAGATTTATCCCATTACATCCGATTATAACGAATACTGCAGAAACAAGACCTGAAACAAATAGAACAAAACAAATCATGGAAACAACAGAGACGAAAAACCAAAAATAATAACCGACAAAACTTTACATGATAGGGTAAGAAGTAAAAACAGAAGGCATAGATTAAACGTATTGATACTATTGATAGAATGATATTCTTCATAAAAATAATATAAAGGGAGAAGATTCGGATAAATAGAAAATATTTGGCCCCTGAAAAAGTGGTCAAAATAACACTTTACTTGATCTTCTAAAGAGGACCTCTTCTTCTTCTAGTTCCATGACCGTTATCGATCGTTGGATATCATGTTGGCTACCATATTCGCTATCGTGACTTTATTGACAGCAGCTCTAAATAACGATGTAGTTGATTTTCCATACTATTGCCTTAGATTTTTCAGCCATGATGTTCTTCGTCTACCAGGACCACGATTACCTTGGATCTTTCCCTGAATGATTAGATGTAAAAGCGTTTAAGCATAGCCTCAGTTAGAGTCCACGCTTCCACTCCATACAGCAGGACAGGGAAGGTGTAGCAAGATGTCATACAAACTCTAAGGTCAATGCTAAGATCGTGACTGCAAAGTACGTTTCTCATTTTTACAAAGGCAGCTCGGGCTTGTTCTATTCGGCTTTTAATTTCTGCGGTTGGATCCCAGCTCTCATTGATATTACTGCCGAGATACACGAGTTTCTCTACTCTGTCCAGTGTGGCATCTCCGACTTTTATACCGTCATCCTGTATATAATTTTGTTTGCTAACTATCATATATTTAGTTTTCTTAACGTTGAGTTTTAATCCGTACTGATCACAAGTCTGTTTTATTTTGTTCATTAGAGGACCTCACTCAAGAAAAAGATTCAAAATGTGTTTTATACTAGAATAATTATATGACCTCATTTCTTCTATAGTGCACGAAACATGTTCTTAAATTTGAATGACACTTTTTTATGGCCCTATTAAGATCGAGTCAAAATTATCTGCCATCTTAAAATAGTAAATGCAGTGTTCTAGATACATTTGATTTTAATTTAAAGTCGGCGTGCCCTAGTTGCAGATTTGAAGACAACGCTTAAACAGCAAACTGGTATGTTCAGTAAAATATTACACTCTCAAACGCATTCTTTGCATGCATCTTGCCGTGTCGCTTGAGCTGGCAAATGCAAAAAAACCTTTCACTGATGGCAATTTGATAAAAAAATGTGCTGTTGAAATGGCCAAAGCTTTCGGTGATTCTAACATGGCGGAGAAATTTGAATCAATGCCACTTTCACATCAAATCATACAAAGAAGGATTGTTGCTATGGGTGAGCAAGTAGAAAAATCTATGCTTAGCCTGGTTAAGAAAATTTCATATTTCTCACTTTGTTTGGATGAAAGCACTGATCAAACCGATGTTAGTCAGCTGTTAATATTTGTGCGCACTACTTTTAATGATTTTACCAGTAAAGAGGAGTTATTTGATATTTATCCTCTTTATGGAACAACAAAAGGAGAATACGTCTATGAGGCTGTGAAGAAAACAGTTGACAGAATTGGAGGCTTTGATAAATGTTCAGCCATAGCAACAGACGGGGCCCCATCAATGACAGGTAAAAAAATTGGATTAGTGGGTCTGCTTCGAGAGAATGGTGTCACTTGCCCAACAATTCATTGTATTATACATCAGGGAGCTTTATGTGGAAAATCAGTCAAGGAAGATCAAGTTTTCCAAACCGTGATTAAGATTATAAATATGATTAGAGGTGGAAATCGATCTATTTTACACAGGCAACTTAAGCAGTTTTTAGTGGAAACAGAGGCTGAGTATGGAGACTTGCTAATGTACAACCATGTAAGGTGGCTGAGTGCAGGAAAGTGCATGGAACGAGTTTTTGCCATAAGAAAGGAAATCCCTGCATTCCTGCAACAAATACGTTTCATCTGACACAACTGAACTGGAAGAGAAGTTTAAGGATCCAGAATTCTTAAGAGAGTTAGCTTTTATAACAGATCTGACTAATCATCTTAACTGTGTTAAATGTTAAACTTGAGTCTTCAAGGAAGAAACCAGACGGTTTCAGATTTGATGGGAATGATAAACGGATTCCGGAATAAGCTGAACGTGTTTAAACGTGCTTTGGAAAAGAACAACCTGACACACTTCCCTAGCTGTCTGCAAATAGCAGAAGAATTCAACGGTGAGGAAAATATTGAGTTTTCATCCTGCATTTCACAAATTGAACAAGTTATTGATGAATTCAATACAAGATTTGAAGAAATTGAAAGCAGTGAAAGTCTCAAAAGCAGTGTACTACTTTATAATAACCCTCTTGGAGCAACTATTGGTGATCATCTGACTTACATTGATGACTTACAGCTTGAGTTATGTGATCTTCAAGCAGAAATGTTCCTAATCACCAGACAAGAAAAGGGACCTAAATTTTTCAAATTACTGTCAAAGGAGAAATTCCCAAACCTGCGAGATTTTGGACTGAAAATGACGTCAATGTTCGGAAGCACATATACATGTGAAAGTGCCTTTTCCTCCATGAAATACATCAAAAATAAAAACAGAAGCAACCTTACCGATTCTTCCTTACGTCATCTTATGAGAGTGTCTACAACTGAACTGGAGGTGGACATTTCTTCATTGGTGGATGAAGCCGATCGATCACAGTCCTCACACTAATTGGATACATCGTTTTCGTTGCTTTTGCAATGTTTGTCTTGATTATTGAAAAGTGTTATCAATAAATTTTCCGTTTATAAAAAAATGTAGTTGTTGAGCAATAAAAGAAATAATACTCTTTTTTTGTTTTAATTATTTTTATACCTCACTTTATTTTGTTATTACTTGTAACAAAATTATTATATGGCCCGCGACAACATCAAAGGATTTAGTTTTGGCCCTTGAGGCATTGCAAGTTGGATACCCCTGTTCTATATAGTACCATGATGTCATAACTTATTAAGGCGTAAATGTTTGAACTTCAAATAAATACGTCATTTGTTAATGAATTATTTTAGCTCTAATTCAGTAGCTATCTTCAAATAATTAGTTTACATCTATCACATTTGACATTTTAAAAATTAAATGAGGTAAAAATTCAACCATGTCAACTTTAGCCCAATCTTTTGAAGCACGAGTTCTTTCGTATCTGAAAGCTCAAGAACACCTAAACTGGGGAGAAGCATTCGAAGAGATCGAGGAGGAGGAATCACCCGAACAGCATGTTCAAGCCATCTTGCAAGAAATTTTGTTAAAATTAAATAAGAAAATTGTATGTCAAGATCGATATGATAACTTGAAAGAAAATCACAACCAGTTTCCTTTGTTCAATTTGGAAGATATAATACCAGATTTTTGTATTGGTAAGTGATATATTTTTTATACCAGATTTTTTTTTATACTTTTTAAATTTTCGAAGCAGTTATTCACGTTAAACACTAAAAAATTCAGAAACACAACAGGGAGTTTTACAGTCGAGTGATTTTCTTATTATAGGTATTGCTTAACTACGATAAATTGCTTATTCATAAAACCCTGATTTTGTTCTGAATTCCATAACTTTCCTCATCTCATAACTATACTTTCGAGTTTAAATAATCAATTTATTAATTATTCGGTCGGATAACCAAGCGGGCTCGGCGGCCGGTTTCTCATTCGCTTCACTGCGAGTGGTTCAGAGGAAGTGAGTTCGACCCCCAGCTGGGTGTACAGAAAACAAAAAGGCTAACGCAGCAGTTTAAAATTGTAAATTAATCTGTGGCTTAGACTAGAATATGCTGGTGTCTGATCGACCTATGGTGGAGCAGTACGGCACGAGATAAGGACTTGCGGTTCGGTGATACTCCTCCATAGATCCCTACCGGAAGGGCGTGTGCCGACTTATATAATATAAGTATATATATATATATATATATATATATATATATATATATATATATATATATATATATATATATATATCACTCGACACTGAGGAGTAGGCAGATTGAGACCTCAGTGCCGAGAGACAGTTCTTGTATTTATAATACAGAACACGATACTGGTACGTCTCGAGTGAGGGGAGTAGGCAGATTGAGACCCCGAACTCGAACCGAACCGTATCCCTCTTGATAATGGCTCCAAAATGGGAGCCGAAACATCGAGCATTAAATTCTCAACGCGGTCCTTCCCGAGAACCTAGTCATTTCATTCATCTAACCGCGGAAATCTATCCGAACATATGTTCTCCGGATAGCCGTACTGCAGATTGGTTCGGCTGCTCAACAAATACCAGCGCCACTGTTTCCATATTTTTGTTAGTTGTTATTGTTGTTGTTGTTACAGGTCGTCCAGAATGCGATGCGTCGGCAACAAAGCTTGTTTTTAAGAGTTTCTGGTTCTTCTTCCACACTGTTGAACGATTTAGTAGCAGAGAGTTCGGAAATTGTTGTTGAAATTCGGTAAACATAGTTTCGTAATCCTGTTCGTACAAAGATACCACGTAAAAAAATATTTCTTGAAGCATGAACTTCTATCGGTTATTCATTCTGAAAACGCGTCTAATCGACGAAAACGTGCTGTCATGACACCGACACAACTGTCTGCAGCACGAGCACAAACTGAGCTTGAACATGATTCATTTTAATCTTTTTCGACAGCGTTGGCAGACTTATGAGCGTTGCCTGGCCTGATTTATGCCGACCCCACTAATTCAAAAATACAACAGAATCATTTTAATCAGCATTAAGTCTGTTAGTAAATTAATTTTTTAGAGAATACTGGATATCAAATATATATGCTTATTTATATGTAAACGGTACCGTTCAACACATTTTGTATTTTAATATCATCATCATCATGGTGTTACAGCTCTTAAAGGGTCCCGACCTTCTCAAGCTATCTGCCCCATTCTACTCTGTCCCTTGTTTGAATTTTCAAGTTGGCAACACGGATCTTCTCAGCATCATTTGTTACCCCATGTATCCACCTCAACTTTGTTCTACCCCGTCTTCTTATTCCCACCAGCTGATGTTTGATTCCGAGGCCCGTGCTACATGTCCTGCCCACTGCAGACATACGGTTCCCCTTGATTACAGTGGTAATATATTTTCCATCAAACTTATTCTTGTAGATATTCTGCAGTTCAAAGTTATATCTACGCCTCCATATTCTGTTTTCACAGACCGCTCCGAATATTTTGCGTAGTACCTTTCTTTCAAAAATCGGTAGAGGATTCGTCTGTTTTGGTTAGGGCTGAAAACGGGGACTATACAGTCTTATACGAATTTTTTGAGACAAAACGAATTTTTAGCTAAGTACTTTGATATACCATGATAACACCTATTTGAAATTATGATCCGTCTTTTTATTTCGTCTGATGTGTTTGGTTTGTTTGGGATTAACCGATGCCCCTAGATATATTAACACTTTGACCGCTTCGAAGTTTGGGTCATTAACAATTAGATCTTCATCAATATTTCCAGTCAGCATGAATTTGGTTTTATTTTAATTTGTCCCCCTGGTTCTTGTTATAATGTCCACGTCATCAGCATATGCTAGAATTTAGACTGATCTGCTAAATCTAGTTCCCCTGCTATCTAAATTAGCATCTCGTACGACTTTTGCTAAGGCTATGTTAAAAAGCTGACACACCAGAGCGTCCCCCTGTCTTAACCTTCTATGTATTTCAAATGGGGTTGATGAGTCGCTCTAAATTTTTACTGCTGATGGCATCTTGGCCCTTGTGACATTTATCAAGCTTATGAGTTTCTTGGAATTTTCAACTCATTCACGGCGTTGTAAAGACTTGGTCCTACGTTACTGTCATATGCCGGTTTAAAATCGACAACTGTCCAGGCCTAAAACCTGCCTGATAATCTTCTAGGAACGCTTCGGTATAAGGCTTGAATCTCTCTTGCAGAATGTGTGATAATATTTTGGTATACTGTGTTTAGGAATTATTTCGCGGTAATTATCGCATTCCAATTGGTTCCTTTTATTGTGTAACGGGCCTATAAAGCCAACGCTCATTCCTCAGACATTAGCTCCTCAGACCAAATTTTACAAACTATTTTTTACATTACATTGGCAATCTGCTTTCCACCGTGTTTAAATACCTCTGCTGGGATACTATCGCTGCCTGTGGATTTGTAAGACATTTTCAATTCCTCTATCGAGAAGGGTTCCACAAATTCCTTATTTCGGTATTTTAGTTTTATGTTGTTAGTAGGTTCCCCTTCCAGTAACTCTCAGAAGTGTTTTAGCCGTCGTAATAGAATATCATCTTTGTTGGTAACCAATTTTTTCCAATGTCCACGTCTTCAACATTTTTGTTTTGATAAATTTATTTGTTTTTCTATTGATAATTCCCAATTTATTTCTTCCCCGATTTGTATACTTTCCTTGACAATGTTGTCTGCGACTTCATTGTTTGTTATGCCTGAATGTGATTTGACCTAGTAAAATTTCATATTTTTATTAAGATTAAGTAATTTTTCAAGTATAATTTTTCTGGCGAATGGATGTAGTGTCCGCAGTCCTTTAAACACAAACAAACAACAAGTATATTTCGAATGTTAAGTATAATGTGATTGGATGGATTGGAATGGGATTTTAAGTTTTTTAAACTGAAAGTGAATCTGTAAAATAATTGCATTTTAGTAATCTTCTTGTTGTACATATTCTAATGTTTTTTGTATTGCTATAGCTTCCGTTGAAAAAATAAATATATGTAACTTGAATTTTTTTGTATCTGATTGGATATTACAAAGACACAACCTGTGCCATCAGTATTTTTTGACCCATCGATATAAATTGTGTAGAAGTTTTGATGCTGAGCCAAAATTTGGCGTATAACTCTGTATCATTATATGATGCTAATTGAGAGTAATCAGGTATATTTACATCACATGTATCTATTTAAATGAAGTAATTGATTTCTATTTGTGTTGTTTGTTGTGAAGGAGAGTTTTTTATTCTTCCGAAAGGGTTAGTTAAATCACATTCATTTATCTTGAATATATTGCTAATGATAGGTGACCCTTTCCTTTGTAATTTAATCATCATTTTTTCAGCTAAAAATGATCTAAGTCCTAAGGGAGGTTCGTTGGCTTCTACTCTAAGGGGTTGGTAAGCAAGTTGCCATCCTTATCATTACAGATGTTGATTCTCGCCTTGAAATATTATCTAATAATGTTTATTTTTTGATAGAACTTTCTTGTTTCTCCTTGACGCCACGTTCTTCCCATCTGTTATTTTTTTCCACTCTTGTTCGAACCAATCGTTTCACTCTTGGCTTCGGGATATTGTACTTTGAAGCCAATGTACTTTCGGCTTCTAATTTTAAATTTTTCTACTCCTTGCAGTTTTCCGCATTTCCGTGCTTGACCCGTCGACTGTCCAGGTTTGTTCTAGGGATTCTTTTATAAGTGACTGGAATTGTTTCTGTTTTCATTATTTAGCATATATAAATTGTATTTTATTTCTCTAGTCCCTCTTTATATCACAGAGACAAAATACAACAAAGACAAAATTACTTGTGGTTAGTAAACAAGACCCCAGCCTTATACAACTAATTGTCAATAATGAACCGATAACAAAAGTTAACCATTTTAAATATCTAGGATGTTAGATAAACGAGATACTAAATCCGGATGAAGAAATTAAAACTCGTATAGAAATTGCAAGAGGAGCATTTATGAAACTTAAATATATTCTGAGCAATTCTCAGCTGAACTTACAGCTGAGAATTAAGTTCCTAAAATTTTATGTGTATCCTGTTTTACTGTATGGATGTGAAACCTGGATTATGAAGGTTAACATGATGAACAAATTAAAAGCCTTCGAGATGTGGTTATATCGTAGAATGCTCAGAATATCATGGGTTCAACACATTTCAAACAGAGAAGTCTTGAACAGATTAGGTCAAGCTGAAGGTGACTTAATAAAGATGATAAAAAAGAGATAACTCGAATATCTGGGGCATATAATGAGAGGAAGCAGATACAGGATAATGCAGTTGATACTCAACGGAAAGATCGACGGAAGAAGAGGAATTGGTAGGAAGAAATACTCATGGCTCCGAAACCTTCGTCAATGGACTGGCTTATCAGCAGATGAATTATTACATGCCGCGCAAGATCGAGAACGATATCGGCAAATCGTCATGGAAGCTGCCCACGCCTAAAACTTGGGCACGGTACTCAAAGAAGAAGAGGTCCCTCTTTCTTTTTTTGGCGTTGGTAATTTTTTGTCGAAACTTGGTTCCTAGCACGAAATGATCTGAATCAATACTGACGCCTCTATAACTTCTTACTGTTCATTAGGTTTTTATGTAGTAACATGGTTCTTCAAATATTTGACAACTCTAGATACCTATAATTTA